GGGAAGTAAAATAAGAAGAAAAAAAAAGAGAGAAAAAGAAAAAAATGATAGCCCAGAATGCCTCAAATGTCAAATGCTGTGTTTGGGCATCTAGAACACAAAAATTTCGCGGGGGTATGCCCCCTGAACCCCCTACAACAGTGTTGTGTCAATCGGCCCAACTTTCGGCCAAACTTCCGGCCCCCACTATTGGACATTTCTGGATCCGCCCCTGAGAAGCCCCCTCTTTACTTTGCAAAAATAGCCTTGAAAATAAGTGCATCCAAAGGCTAAAAAAAAAACAAATTAAATAAATAATTAAAAAAATGAAAAGCCCAGGGTTTCAATTCAAGGCTTTATGGTATTATTGAAGTCTTGTAAACACCAGTACATTTTACATCAACCATGCCAAATTATTATCGGCGGTAAACGTAACTTTATAATCGACATGCGCAGTAGCATTTTCAGTCGCTTGCCAGTTGCTTTGAATCGCTACAATATAGAACATGGGCGACTAAAAGCAACTGAGGGCAAATGACAATTTCCAGTTGCTTTTCAGTTGCTTTCGATCGCAAAGTGCCCTTATGTCAGTCTCAGTCATGTGACTCACAGTTGCTGGCAAGTTGCCAAAGGTCAGTTGATGTCAGTTGAGTTGAGTCGAGTCACAAGGGCGCATAAGCCCAGCTTAAGAATATGTTTATTTCCATCGTCACAGAGGTTAGATTAAAATATGGTAGCTGAAATTTGTAAAAAAAATTATAAAATAAATGTTAAAAACATTATCATAGCGAAGCAGCGGTGGCACCAGAATTTTTCTAACGAAGGGTCCGACGTGACGGAAAAAAGGGGTCCAAAAAATGAGCCACTGCACAAAAGCAGAGATGGAAGCTGGGAGTGCATACATCACCCCATTAATTTTTAAAATGCTCTCATAGATTAGAAGGTTAAAAGAATACAAAAAAATCAATATTTGTATCAGCTATTTGTAAGAAGTCAACATTAAAACAATACACAGAATTGTACCTGAGTGTCTGAACATTTCTAAACTTTCCTTTAGAATCAGTACGGTAGTACTATAGTATTTAATTATTGCTATAATTTACACTACTCAAATAATCGACCAGTAATTCAGCGCTGCCCTTTTAAAGATCATGTTGTACGTTAACGCTGCCGATTGTAATTACAGCTGTTGAGACAATGTCGAAATATTGAATCCCGACACAATGGTGTGCATTTCGATATATATATCGATATATATATATACTGTAGTACATATTATACTATCTTGTAATTACAGTAATAAGTCAATTACGGTAGTTCACTATGTATCGACTGTATACACTTTCCTCTTGACCGACTACCAAGAGATTTTGGCCTACACTAACCATGGATGGATTAGTTTAGTTTCTAAACTAAGTCCTCCATGCCCTAACTTCATATTCCACAAGCAGCGAATACCACACCATATTCGCGACTGGTGAGAAGAAGTGTCAAGCATGCATGCATTATTCATGTTATCAGTCCATCTTGTTTGGGAAAAGAATCTAAGGGCCATGTCCACCTCATGCTTTGGGGACCTCGGACATCTCATCAGGCAAATCTTGGAGCCACCCCTGTGATTACCCCTGAAAAAAATCTTATATATAGAGAGCCGTAACAACTTTTAAACTAAATATAAATCATCAAAAGTAACTTTTTAGGAAAAAAATATGTTAGGAGCAATACTAAACAATGTACCATCATGCCTTTTATTTAAAGTTTCATGCTTGGCTACACACTATCAAGGCTAGAAAGCCAATGGCCAGGTGGTACAGACTGTGGGAAAATGTCCTGTTCAGGGGCAGACTTAGAGGGGGGCCAACTCGATCATCCCAAATTTTGGCCCTCTTTTAGGGCCACCTTTTGGACATCTCTGGATCCGCCCCTGCTGTTTTCTTGTTTAAAGTTTATTACTGGCGATTATGTAACATTTCCCCATAGTCACAAATTACATCTTAGAGTTAGGGGAGTACGATGATGACCATTTTAGTATTGACCAGGAAAATTGATGTTGTTGTGTGTTGTCTTCCAAGTCCCATATATATTTTGAGAGTGGTGTTTACTTTGCAATTTAAACTATGATTTGCGATTATTAAATCTGATTTTTGAATTAAAATTTCAATTTGACTTGACTTCATTTCGTGTGAATACTGTTGCTTATATATTCCACTACACATGTAAGTAAACCGTCTCAGACATGCAGCTAATACACATGCACAGGTCCTGTACTGATCACTGGACAACTAGCCACCATGACCAGTAGTTTGATTATATATACAGTAGCATACATTCATATATAACTGACTTAATAAAGCAATTATTGTCAAGTTATTTCAGACCCTATACAAAATAGGAGAGAGAAGCCATTATTTTCTATAGGGTCATCAGACTATAATTGCATGACATTATTACTTATCCAGTTCAAATGATAATAATTATATTACCTATTATTTAAATTTCACAGGATATCAATTCAAGATGGCTACCAGTAAGTTGAATCAGTTTCTGGAACATGTTGATGAGAAGGTCTTAGAGTGTACCATCTGTTTTAAGAGACTTCAAAATCCAAAATCCCTCAACTGCCTCCATAGTTTCTGTTTGGCATGCCTGGAAGATTGGGTTAAGGAGAAGGGTAAGCTGACTTGCCCAACTTGCTCAAAATCATATCCAATTCCAAAAAGAGGGCTTCAGAAGCTTCCACCAAATACCTTTGTAAATAACTTATTAGAAACTATTGAACAATTTTCAGAGAGTGGTCACATGAAATGTTGTGTTTGTAAAGAGGAAAGACAAGTAAAATACTACTGCCAGGATTGCAGACAGTATTTGTGCTCTACCTGTAGTGATCAACATAAAAAGTTTAGAGCCATGGCGAATCACAAGTTACATTTAATGGAGGATGTGCAATCAATGAGTCCCTCTGAGATGA